AATCAGTTAATTTAACCAGGAATGTGCTAGGTAGTTTATTGATCCAGTTCCTGGTTGAATTTAACCAGAGTGTTTTTAGAGTGTATATATATATATATATATATATATATATATATATATATATATATATATATATATATATATATATATATATATATATCTTCCACTTGGGAATTGAAAATACATTAATTATGCAAAGTTAGTCAATCCAAAAGCAACGCGAGCCTGCTGCAAGCTATTTGTTTCATAAAACGTTTTGATAACGAATGTTCTCTGTTCAGGGGTTAATTGAACCATGTTTCGTACCAAATTGAGTCTCGTATTGAGTTATATTGTCTCACTAAGAGGAAGATTGACGAGTTGAGCTTAGTTTAGATAATTTAACATTCAATTTTAATTCCCTCTTGGGAATTGTTTATGTTTCGTTTTCGATGCAATTCCCAACGGTGGAAGAATGTGATTTCGACCGGCAATTTTTATTTGACGAGTATGTGTCCATTTCTCATCGTTACGACTTAAAAAGAGTATCATTGAAAAGCTAAATAACTGTTCTTTCGTCCTATGTAAAAATTGAATTGTTTAGCCACGTTTACGATGCACGACAGCCTGTTTAATTTCCGTAGCGTTTTTTTTGAGACACTCTCTCTCTCTCTCTCTCTCTCTCTCTCTCTCTCTCTCTCTCTCTCTCTCTCTCTCTCTATATATATATATATATATATATATATATATATATATATATATATATATATATATATATATATATATATATATATATATATATATATATATATTAAAACTACTATAGTATAAACTATATTGATGATATATACTATAAAATATTATGTTATGCTGCCTATGGTCGGTCCCAGTTTCTAATACAGTTTGGGATAAAACTGTTCTTATATCGTTCAGTTTTGCACTTGTACATAGGATAAGTGCGTTTGTTTCTTAGATTGAATTTGTGGGATATAGCACTGGGAAGTTATGTTCTCAACTTGTCGTCTGAGTGTTGGTGGATGCTCTTATAAAATGACAAGGACTGATTCTCTCTTCGCTGGTAAAGTGTAAGAAGGCCAACATTTCTAAGTGAAGTAGCGTACGAGGACTGGGGGAATGCGATTTTCAATGCACGTTTATGTATATAGCGAAGGATAAAATTCATCAATAATCGCGGGCGCATGGGTAACTGAGCATGGATGGTCATCCTCGCTGATCTCAAAATATAACAGATCAACTGTCATGAATAGCGAACCCTGATTTGTCCAATTTTAAATTGGCGTTACAACGACTGCATGACGACAGGGAAATAGCAAACATTTCTTGACTTCTTGCAAATATGTTTCGTTTTTGCAAGATTTTGAAAACTTCAAAAGCTTAATATAAAAATATTCTTAATAAAATTATTGCGTTACTATGACAACTACTTTAAATACTTTATGTTCGGAAAGTACAATAGTTTTTTCAGGAAGGCGAGGGTTTCTGAATGGATGTATACTCTAGTTTAATTAAGCAATCTACCACTGAAATTGTTGATTTTCATGAAATCTGTTGAGGCTTTAAACCGGTCACAAGCTTCCCTAGAAAGTTTATCACATAAAATCAATCCCCAGCATGCAAATCTCGAGGGATCGATTTACCACTTTAGTCGTTTCCATAGTTACTTAATCTGGGACTGCATGCAGGCTGATACAGGGACGCCGGAACTGGGGGGAGGGGCAGGAGGGGCAGCCGCTCACGTTGGCCTTTACCAGGAGGGGCAAGGGGGCAAAGGTGCCCTTTCAATTTAAAGGATTGCCTTGGCGAAATAGCGAATTATCAGAAATGGTAGTGCGATTCTTTTACGAACTTGCTTCAGAAAACGCAAGAAATGCAGTCATCGAGCTGATCACGATTAGCACAATCGCCTGGCGGAGAACCCCCTTACACCCCTGTCATCCAATAAATAGAAAACATGATTAGGTGAAGTTCCATTCCCGATGTTTTGCACACATCTTAGTATATATCAATTCAAAAGTGTCCTTAGTAAGTAACTAAGCCGAATAGTAACTTAACTCCAATCCTGCCATAGAGTTTTTGAAATATTAGAATGTGGATATATTCCGCGTCTTACCTTCAATACAACCATGAACCTCAGCTCTCATGGCGATGTGCCATTCCCAAGTCTTTGGTTGGATTCTGATGAATCTCGCAACAAGAACGGGTGAAATTTCTTGACGCACAACACTATTTCTGTCAGTGTTGCCTGAAAATACCTGTTTTCAAAGTGATACATCAGTTTAGTCATGAAATATCTGTCTATTATATTAGCTCGTCAAGAAAATGCTTCCGAAATTGTTTGAATGCACATGAAAAATAGCATGAACTTGAGGCTGATATAATATGATTGTGAAGTAGGGTGATAATTCATCTCACTCATGAAGATGATTTTTCTATCCTCATATGATTGTTTTTATCGCACCAAATATCCCGTCTCGGTTGGGCTACATTCAGTATAAACATATGCGTCTTTGAAATCCCTTTTTTGTCAATTATAAAGAACTGCATCTGTCTGTTTAGGTATACTAATATTTACTTTTTGTTTGTATTTTCCAACCATGTCCCTCAATACTATATTCTAGCTGATAATCGGGAAAAATGTTCATCCTGGTTTGGTGGAATAAAGTTTATAAAGCCTTCATATAGAAAATTTTATTTCACTTGACTGAGATCCACATAGCGCAAGGTGACAACATCTCGACTAACCAGGATGGAGCGCTCGTTTCTCATACAGTACAAACACAAACCGGATTTTGTTAAACTCATTCTCTAATATCTATTTTATATAAAGGTTTATAATATGAAAAATACCAGTTTCAACCCTGTAGTATTTTAAATACGAGGTACTACACTTGCACCCCATGATGCAACCTTGTTCAACAGGATGTCTAAAAAAGGCAATCCAACTTTAGCATGCCAATGTACGTTAATTTCTCAGTGTATGAACGTAATTTTTTCATAATCATAAAGATGAGACTTTTGGCTGTTGAATGACATGTTTTTCATCCATTATAGAGAACAATTGAGCAAATACGTGTCCGATAAAAATTGTTTGACGAAAGTGCATATTTTCACCGTTGAGAATTGGGTCTAAAACTATTGAAAATTAACTCTCCTTAGGACTTAAGTTGATGAATTTCTCCACAGATAGCCCAGGCTCAGTGTAGGTATTTATTTATTTTTTAATTTTATTATATTTTGCATGTATTAAACATGTACTTTAAATTATAAAGTAAAACTTATTTAGTTTCCTTTATGTATTATGTGTGATTTGGGTGTGGTTTTAGTTTGATATAATGATATTAAAACATCACGAGAATGCCATATAATACACACTTCATATATTGTAAAATATTGTAAAAAAAAAGTCTAAATACGCTCTGATTCAAAATGTTGGCGGACTTACTTGTTTACTGTGTCATTTACTTCATCTACTCTCGCCGATTTTCACGCCATTTCGTTGAACCCGGCCTATATTGTATATCACCGGGCGGCTGTAACGCCTGGCGAACTTGTGCAAAACCTATATCTGAACAAAACTCGCCGACAAAATATTGCCAAATGCTTCCCAAGTGGCGGCTATACATATTTATGTTTATTCAATCTTCCCAACTTGTAAAATTCTTTCCCTCGCTTTTTCTTGAAGAATTAATTTAAAAACAAATTAGAAAAAAAAATTAGAAAGTCTCGTTAAAAAAATAGATGATGAAAACAAAGAAATTCACATTCTTGGTGATTTAAACTGTGATTTACTTAAGACAAATCCAGACCAATTAACTAAAAAACTCAAATCCGTATATGAACTATATCAATGGTCACAAATGATTGATGAAGCTGCGCGCATAACATCATCAACATCCACCGTTATTGATCATTTTGTTACAAATAGACCAGTGAAAATTTCTCACTCTGGGTAATACATACTGGAATAACAAAAATAAATTTTTCAGTAAAACGTCATGTAAATATTGATGAAATTAGAAACATGAAGAAATTCAATGATCTAAGATTTCTTAATGATTTGCAGAATCAACCCTGGGATCATATTTATTATTTTCCAGATAATCCAAATACTATGTGGGAGACCTGGATCAGCATGCATCACTTCAAAACAAAGATATAAAATCAGAGAGTATCCCTTGGATTACAAGCAAAATTAAAATGTTCATAACCGAAAGAGATGAATTGAAAAGAAAAGCAATTATTACAAAACAAGAGTCTGATTGGCTCATTTATAAAAAAGCCAGAAATCAAACAAATACCGAATTAAGGAGAGCCAAAACAGACTCTTATTCTAAAAAGATTGCTAACCAAAAGTGAAATCCAAAGCAGGCTTGGAAAACTATTAATAGTTTGATCGGAAAGGGAACCCACGATTATAAATAAACTAATTTTTAATGAATCTAAATTAACAAATCCTGCAGAGATTGCAGAAGGGTTAAATGAATTCTTTGCAAATATTGGACCAAACTTGGCAAGCAAGTTGGATGAATCTAGCTGTGATTTTCAAAATTATACTAAAAGTTCTGAATCCGAGTTCACTGCATTTACACCAATTGCGGTAAAGAAAATTTTTGATCTTTTAAGAGGACTAGCTGTCTTGTAAAGAGCATGTGGTGTTGACAAAATTTCCAGTAAAATTCTTAAATTAGCATCACCAGTAATTTCTGCTACACTTACATAAATTCTTAATCAAAGTATTACTCTTTGCAGCTCTCCGGTCCAGGAGAATGGAAAGTAGCCAGAGTTTTACCTATTCATAAAAGTGGTCATCGTAATATTCCTGGTAATTACAGGCCAATTTCGATACTACCAGTCATAAAGCGGAATCATGGAAAGATTACTGTACGACCAGCTGTATGATTATTTAACTAAAAACGAAATTCTTTCTGATAACCAATTTGGCTTTCGTAAGTTTCACTCTATCGCTACGTCCCTTTCAGATTCAACAAATAGTTTGTACGTTAACATAGATCGAAAAATGTTTAACTTAGTAGTTTTTGTAGATCTAAAAAAAAAGCATTTGACACCGTAGATCACGAAATTCTACTTGAGAAAATGCAAATTTACGGTATTAAGGATAAGGCACATTTGTTGTTGAGATCATACCTTACTGGTCGCACCCAAAAATGCCAGGTAAATGGTGTTGTCTCGTCTGAACACAAAGTTAAATGTGGATTTCCTCAAGGCTCCATTTTAGGTCCTTTATTTTTCCTAATATACATAAATGATTTAACTGAATGCCTAAATAGGAAAAGCCAAGACTTTTTGCAGATGACACGAACCTAACTGCTTCCGGTGGAACAATTAATGATGTTGAAAATGCAGTGAACTCTGGTTTGGAAAACCTCAGAATGTGGTTAAACGCGAACTGAGCCTAAAAATTGCCAAAACTGAATTTATGCTCATTGGATCAAGATCTCTAGTGCATACTGTTTCAGATTCAAATTTAAACATAATGATTGAAAACAGACCAATTAAACAAGTGCAGGAATGCAATACACTAGGAGTAATAGTTGATCAGCATCTCTCTTGGAAAAGTAACACTGAGAGTATCTGTAAGAAAATCACGTCCACCATTTCTATTATTAGAAAACTAAAAAAATTTGTTGACCGTGATACACTTGTTTCTATATTTAATGCAATTGTACAACCATACTTTACTTATTGTTGTGAAGTGTGGGACATTTTTGGTGAAACTCAATCACAACGATTACAAAAGCTTCAAAATATTATTATGGACATGGGTATAATGAAGTTAATGCTCATATTGCATTAAATGGGATCATCGTTAGGATGGGAGACACTAAAAGTACAAAGAACTAAAGCAAAGGCAATATTAATGTTGAAAATTTTGAATAAGTCTGGGCCTAAAAGCCTAACAGATGAGAATACACATTACTGTCTCCGTGACAATGAAACAACACTCGTTTTGCCACAGCGCCGCACAAATAGCATGAAAAAGAGTTTTATGTTTAATGGGGCAAAAATATGGAACTCAGTGACTAAACGAATTAGAGGGATTAGATCCTAGTTTCTATTTGGAAGAAAAATTTCTGCTCATGTTACTAAATAATATATTTATACATATATATTACTCCTTTATTTTAAATAGTTATCTATATGTTTTGTCAGTTGTCTATTTTGTCAATTTTGTCAATTGGAACAGAAAGATTATTTCTATTTTCTTTTATTTGATTCCATAAGAGTCATAAGAACATTTATATATAATAACTGTTGAACACACGCGCTTCGTGGAAATCAATATTTTTAATTGACGTTGTAGCGTGTCAAAATAAACTAAACAACTTGATGTAAATTAATGTAAACTAAACAACTTAATGTAAACTAACGTACATTCTCCGCACTCGTGAGTCGATCTGCCGTGGAACCAAACCGTTTAAAGTTAAATTTTTCAAACTTCGTAACCCCACCTCTCGTTAAAATACTTCTCCTCAACCCTCCTGATATAACCACGTGCAAATAATAGATCAGGAGGGTTGAGGAGAAATGTTTTAACAAAAGATGCGGTTACAAATTAAGTTTGAAAAATTCAAATTTTAACGGTTTGTTTCCACGGCAGATCGACTCACAAGGACGGAGAAAGTATTTTAGTTTTATACATTAAGTTGTTTTAATTCTTCAAGGAAAAGCGAGGGAAATATTTTACAAGTTGGGAAGATTAAATAGACATAAATATGTATAGCCGCGATATTTTATCGACGGGTTTTGTTGAAATTTAGGTATTGCCCAAGTTCGCCCGGCGTTACAGCTGCCCACCTTAGTGTACCTAGTAAAGGGTATAATATTATAGATGATATACAATATAATATGCCGGGTTTAACGAAATGGCCTGAAAATCGACGAGAGTGAAGTAAATGACACAGTAAACAAGTAAGTCCACCAATATTTTGAATCAGAGAATATTAGTACACTCGCCCCGGGCTTACGCCGAGGCGAGGTTCGGGGATAATAATAATAATAATATAATATTACGAATATTTATACAGGATAAAACACTGCAACTAAAAGCTGTTAAAACACTTCAACTAATAGAACACTTCAACTAATAAAACACTTCAACTAATAAAACACTTCAACTAATGAAACACTTCAACTGATGTCGGTATAATCATTGAAGGAGAAAATGTTTTCGGATACACAAAAGATTCTTCTGATCAGTAATCATCATCTGAGCTCATTGTTAAAATGACACATTCGTGATTAATTGCTTTCACTTTTGTAATGTACTGTTTTAATTAGGCGCAGCGGTGAAAACATGCGATTTCGACAAACTATTTTTATTGGACTCGTATTTGCTCAATTCTTCTCTATAATGGATGAAAAACATTTCATTCAACAGCCAAAAGCCTGATCTTTGTGACTATGAGAAAAATACGTTCATGCACCAAATAATAAACGCATAATGGCATGCTAAATTTGGATTGCGTTTTTTAGACACTCTGTATAATCACAATGACGTAATTTTATAATATGAATAATGAAAACATTTTTTCTGACAGATTTCGTATTCGTTACCCAAGGGCATGCAGATCTCACTCAGGCGAGTTTACGAGTAATAGCTAGGCTTATATGAACAGGCTCAAAAAATAAGAGAGTAAAATTACTGTTAACTAGTTAATTGCCAGCCTCGTCATACCAATCTACCATTGTAACCAAACGTAAGAAGTGTTTATAGCGAGATCTCTGATAAATAATGGAAAGCGGCCTTCCACACGAAGAGTAGGTGTTTCATTTTCGGGAAGTAGGAAGTGGTCTAGCACTGTCTGAGTAGTATATAACTTCCTTCCTTCGCTCAAAACGTAGGTCGCCTAAACCTCAAAAGTTTCTTCAATTATATATATGGTATTATATACGAGTTTTGTAGGTCAAAATTATTGAGTGTATATCTTTATACATTTATTAGACTTAACCAGGGAGCAGTTGTAAAAAATACAACTATATATAGGCCGTCTCCCACGACTCGCATCTGCGACCCTGTGATTCGATTCCAGGAACGCAGGTTCAATTCCTGCCAGAGGGCTTATATTTGCATTTTCGCAACTGCTCCTGGTTAAGTTTAAAAATGTATAAAATTGTTAGTACATCTACAAAACATTTCTGCAATTAGTTCTATCGACTGAGATGCCCAAAATGGTATTCTAACTATTTTCCTACAACCAGCCAAAGAGCTGTGGAACTGAGAAATATATGATAGTTACCTTATCTTGTCCTTTATCCCCTTTGTACGTTGTAAAGTTCACGCCATCGTCAGAATAAGCAATGGTGTAACTTCCAACCCATTGTTCGAATTGCGTACGGCCTTGTGTGAGAATCTCTGTAATTATTGCTTTATATTTGAAATCAATTTGCAGCCACTGGTTGGTGTCTGATGGCTGAGCAACCCAGCATTTATCCCCATGTAATCTGGCGTAACGAGGGCCCCAGTTTCTATCCCACCATTCACTCGAGGCATGTATTCTTGAATCTGGGATCTTTCCACTCTGCATTCCTAACGCTCTAGGATCTTTGCAAACTGAAACGGAAGAATTGATTTAAATAAATAGTACATTTCTTGTGTGACTGCAAGGTCAGTAGTACGAAGAAGTTATAATGTTAAAAAAATTTACATGCCATTTACTAAATAATGCAATTTTTTACGAAAATGGAGATATTACAATATCCTAGAATATACAACCATAATTTCAGTTAAGGTTGTCCCCGAGCAAGGCGGAAAAGTCGAATACGAGCGCGAAAGGCTTGCTGGGAATCGTTAAAAAATTAATGAATTTTTGCGATTCCCAGCAGGTGCGCGGACGTTTGGCCGACAGACATTTGGCCGACAGACACTGATACTAGCCTGCAGTCATAAATCTATTATTATATCTCTATTTATCTAACTGTGTAATTTAATATGTAAATGTAACTATTATATAAAGCCCCCCTTGGAAATCAGCAAATGCTGAAGGGGTTAGCGGTTTTAAATAAAGTTTTATCTATCTATCTACCGACAGACGCTTGACCGACAGGACCTTTCACCTACTGACGTTTAGCCGACAGGACATTTGGCCGACAAGACATTTAGCCCATAGGACATTGGGGCGACAAGACATTAGGCCGACAGGACAATTCACCGGCATTTCAATTACCTGAAACAACGTCTTGAAATAATATTTATTGTAACTTTCACGCATATTTACAAGTTATGTGCAATATCATGTATATAGTCTAAAAAGCTGTCGGCGTTTAAGTCCAAATCACTCCCAATCGCTTTGAGTCTTAAATTCGTGAAATAACTGAGTGATTCTTTTGTTTTCATAGTGCTTTGAGACAATGAAACCGTGGAACAATACCTGCACGAGTCATTAATTTGACTAATAGTTTGACTAATTTGTATGAGTCATCCAATGAGTCATCATTACCCGTGAGCATTATTTTAGAAAATAAACATGAAATAAAAGATCTTGTCGGTGAATTGTCCTGTCAGCCTAATGTCTTGTCGGCCAAATGTCCTGTCAGCCTAATGTCCTGTCGGCCAAATGTCCTGTCGGCTAAATGTCTTGTCGGCCAAATGTCTTGTCGGCTAAATGTCTGTCGGTAAAAGGTCCTGTCGGTCAAACGTCTGTCGGTTTAGTGTTTGTCGGCTAAATGTCTGTCGGTCCAACATCCGGTCACGTTCCCAGCAGCTTTTCGAGCCCGTACTCGACTTTTCCGCTTTGCTCGGGGACAACCTTAATTTATACAGCTGTACACATTTCCATGCACCGTACGACAGTGTAGTGTTTTTTTGCGCATGCGTGATATTGTGGAAATTATATACATATTTTTTGGCCAATTATCAGTTCCAACGGATGCATTTCGGCATAATGTTCTTCAATAATTCGTATTGAGTGTTGAGCAAAACTTTGAAACTATCGTAATAGAAATTCAGCAAATTCACGATTTCACCCGCGCCCCAACCCTGCGTTTTCTACCAAACCGTTTTGACAGAAGATAATTGTAATGGCCAGCTGTTTCGTTATTCCAATTCACAGATTTTTATGTACTTTTCAGTACAAATATCCGATTTCTTTCTATCTACTACTCGGTTCAATGTTGCCTGTGTCTCAGATCTTACAATTAGTAAAGTCTATGAACATTGGCAGAGGAGGTCGGACAGCCTATTAGGTGAATCTGGGCGAATATTGTAATGTTCTGAGTTAAAGTCAAAGCAAGCTACTGTAGAAGACAACATGTATTGAACTCAAAAACGTACTTATATACATGAATACTAAATGACTAATTGTTCAGAGTTTTAGTACATCTCCGTTTCTTTACAAAGCTTTAAGTAACTATAATTGTACCTTTTTTGTTCAATTTCTCAGTTCTGGAATCTATTAAGTTGTTAGAGATATTTGTCTTACATCTTTAACTTAAATACTTTGTTATATATTAAACTTAAGATTAACCTCAACAGTTTACAAATTAAGTCTATGTGGATGCTTAACCAACCGTCCGCTTCTAGTATATGTTTTCAAACTACTATTTCAATCATCATTGTTTGGTCTTGAAACAACAGCTTGTGTTTCTGACTGTAATTGTTCATTTGCGTTCAATTGTTCTTTTGATTGATCTTCTTTACCACCTTAATCCACTTTCTCAACATCGTATCTCTCAATAGGCTCATCCACTTTCAACAAATGCTTTCTATTTCTTCTATACGATTTGGATGATGATTTGACCAGATAAGATCTAGAATGCTGCGACTTTTCTACAACAACACCTTTCTGCATAAATCCCTTCTCTCCTCGGATTCTGACGACATCGCCTTGATTCAATATTAGCAATTCTTGGGCTCTTCGATCATAACTTTTCTATTGCAGATTCTTGTAATGTTGCAGCCTTTCTTGGACCACTTCAGGATCTTTCACTTGTGGCTTTAACAGCTCTTTAGCCATAGGAAGAAGACTCTTTGTATGCGTTAACATTAAACGTTGTGCTGGACTTCCCAGTACCGAATCTCGGGGTGTATTGCGATGGTTTAATAACGACAGGTAGGGATCAACACCATCTTCTACAGCTTCCTTCATCAGTGATTTCGCTATTTGGATAGCTCTTTCTGCACCACCATTACTCTGGGGATATCCTGGTGAGCTCGTTATGTGTTCAAAATGCCATGCCCGTTGGAATGCTTGGAACTGTTTAGAACAAAACTGAGGACTGTTGTCACTAACGATGATGTTTGCAATTTTATATCGAGCCATTTGTGCCTTTAACTTCGTTATGACGGTTGTAGATAACACATTACTCAGCAGATCAATTTCGAACCATCCTGAGCTGAAATCGACCGTTTTCAAATATTTTTTTTCCGTGAAACATGAAGATATCTACCCCAATACGTTCCCACGGTCTAGATGGAGTTGGATGGGGGCTTTGAGGGTTCTGACGGTTGCTGGGGCATGTTCTGGTTACAGATGCTACACAATTTAACGAGTTTTTCAATTTCGTTGTCCGTCTCCGGCCAAATAGAACCTCTCGTGCTCGACGTTTACTCGATTCTACTCAGAGGTTTGAAGATAAGTTCATCATGGATCGTGAGCTCTTCTCTTTAGTCCCAATAGCTTTGAATTGATTGAGACAAATGTGACTTGCGTTCTGGCCAGCCATTAAGAATAACATGTCGTCATTTGTGCATGACAGGATCTTTTCCCGTCTCGTCTTGTAATTCTTTCAACTTCGGGGCAGAAATAGGCAATACCATGTGAATTTCTAAACTCTCTTCAAGAGAGTCATCTGCACCAATTTCTTGATATGCTTCACTTAATGTATCATACAGTATAATTCTGTGCCTTTCTTGTAGACAACTTGCAAATCATACTGTTGCAAACGAAGAAGCATTCTTTGCAATCTCATGGGACAGTCATTCAGCGACTTCTTGAAAATACTGACCAGAGCCTTGTGATCTGTCTCAACTGTTACGCTCTTTCCATAAATGAACTGGTGGAATTTTTCACATGCAAAGAAGATGGCCAAGAGCTCCTATTCTATTTGCGCGTATTGTTGCTGTGTATCGGACAAAGATCGAAAAGCATACACTACGGGGTGGCCATCTTGTTCACAAACGGCTGCAAGCCCAGATTTTCCACTATCAGCTGAAATTTTTACTGGTTTCGACACGTCGTAGAAAAGCAATATGTTGGTTGTTTGCTGCAGTCTTTCTTCAACAGTTCGTAAGCTCTTTGGTGCTCAGCATTCCATTGCCACGCCGCATTCTTTTTCAACAAGGATCGTAGTGGCGCTAATTTCTCAGAGAGATAAGGAATGAACTTTGCGACTTTTTGTACCATTCCGATGAACCACTGCAACTCTTGTTTGGTACTTGGCTCGGGCATCAGTAAAATGGCTTTGACTTTTTCTTTGTCTGGCTTGATTCCTTCTGACGTTAAAGTATGTCCAATATACGACACCTCTCTAACACGTATCTTGCATTTCTTCTTATTTAATTTCGGCTGAACATCACGTGCTCGATCGAGGACATTCTTCAATGCTCTTCATCATCAGCAATTACCTCACATCCTTCTATGTCATCAAACAACTCCTCCATAACTCGTTGATCAACTTCAGGTGCGGATTTGATACTAAATGGTAGGCGTTGAAACCTATATCGTCCAAATGGGGTATTGAAATAGGTCAGAAATAATGACTCTTCGTCAATCGTCGAGAGGAATTTGCCAAAATCCACTCGAGGCGTCAAGGGTGAAAAATATCTTGGCTCAAGGTAGTCTTGTAAGAACATCTTCCACGGTTTTCATAGGATAATATTCCCTCTTCACCGCCCCGTTTAGATCTTTGGGGTCAATGCACAAACGAATCTTGTCTGGTTTGACAACCGTAACAAGCGATGAGACCCATTCTGTTGGTGTAGTAACGGGTGATATTAACCCTATACTTCTCCATACGATCCAATTCTACTTCGATTTTTGGACGGAATGCTGCTTGAAATTGACGAGGCGCGTGCACGACAGGTTTTACGTTTTTATCTATCTCTATATGATGATCTAATGGCAGACATCCGATACCACTAGTTGAAAAAACATCTTCATGAGCATTGAATTCTGCATTGGCGGTTTTACTGATTTATTCTACTCTTCGTATAACTTTCCACTCTTCACACGCTTTCAAACCTAATATAGCCTGGACAGGATTATTTATGACATAGAATTGGAGTAAATACTGCTTGCCTCTATAAAACACAGACAATTTTACTGTTCCTTCAACGTCAATCGAATTTCCACTGTACCAAATTTGTCTAGTGTTCGTCGGTTGCAACTGAATTGTTGAGCCTAAGCTCTAAATTTGGAATTTGGCCAGAACGTTGCACTTTGCGCCAGTGTCTATTTAAATTTCAGTGGTTTATTGAAAGTCTCTACCGTAATATTCCACTCATCCTCAGTATTGCCCACAGTCTCTACATTTCTATCTTGCTCCGCTGCACCCACACACAAGTCATGAGTGTCTACGGATGAGTATTTAACACACTTTTACATACCTTGGCAAAGTGATTTTGCTTACTACATTTCTAACATGTTTTCCCAACTGGTGGACATTTCAGTTTGTTCCTTTCGTGCGATGTTCCGCAGTACTTGCACTGTACAACCGAAGTCTGCTGATCAAACTTTCCTCCCTTGTTTCTTGGTGTCGCCGTCCGCTTTGACTTCGTCGGGTCTTTTTTAACATAATCAATTGTTATCGCAGGATTCTTTAATGCATCCATATGGCTTCGCGTCTGTTCGGCCGCTCGACAGATATCTACCGCTTTTTGCAAATCTAATTCAGACTCACAAAGCAATCGGCTTCTTAGTAAATCGTCTCTGATTCCAACTACAATTGTGTCTCAAATCAGTTAGATGCAAAGAACGCCAAATTCACAGTTCTTTGAAGTCTAAACTCTGTGACATACGCATCAATGGTTTCATTTGAACCTTGCACGCGTGTATTAAATATATGTCGTTCGTAAGTTATATTTCGCTTTGGATTGCAATACTTTACGCTTTGAATTTTCTCATTAAAAGTTCAGGATCGTCGTCTTTTTCCCCCTCTTTATATGTGAAAGTGTTATAAACTTCAATCGCCTGATCTTCAGCGGGATTTAAGAGCATACAACACTTACAACGAATATTTCGAATTTCTGTTTGACTCTTCGTCCGTTTTCGACTACGTTTCCTTCAAACGATACTTGGTTAGGTTTAACAAACCCTTCCATTTTGTTTCAAGCTTTTTTCACGCTGCCACCATGTAATGTTCTCAGTTAAAGTCAAAGCAAGCTACTGTACAAGACAACATGTATTGAATTTAAAAACATACTTATATACATGATTTTTTAATCGACCTGAATACTAATGATGCATGACTAATTGTTCAGAGTCCTACTACAAACATCTCGACCAATCAAATTGCGCCATTCTTCTCACGCTCGCACGAGGCTTGTGTCATTGAAAATTTACATATGTCTCATAAATATCAATCTTTTTTATATTGTTATGCAAATTATTGGGGGAATTGCACGCGATACTGCTCTTACAACAGTTAATCTACCTATTGGAATGGTATCTTGAAAGGTATAGTAAGCGTCATTTCCCAGTATATTTTGCCGTCTCACATAGGCGCTGTGCCGTCGCGATGTAATTTAATGGCGTTTCTGTCAACAATCTTTGAAGACAAAAATCTCAAATTTCCATGATCCGATTTTGCTATTTTTTTCACGATTAGTTAAACAAAAGTATAATCTTTAATTCTGTCCAGCCGGCCTCTCTCGGCCCCGCAACCGTTTTCGAGATATTCACCGTTGAATATAGCCCTTTGTAAAATATGCCGCCTTGTCACCCAGATGGATAACGAACTGCAATTACTCGCTTTTTTTAAAGAAATGTGATATACTATAGATAGAATTTTCAATATACTATGGATTGTATATATTGCAGGTAAAGTATGTAAATAATTAAAGCACTTCTGTAACAATATTTTATAAGTATAAAATTTATTGTTTGGCTGAAGTTTTAGATTTGGGATTCGTGATTTTGGTTGGATTCTATTTTTGTCAATGATTTCGTCTGCAAGAATTAAGCGACATCATTAAGATTACAGGACACCCTTTTTGGCGTTGTGTGGAAAATCGCTACCACGCGCTCAAAATCAGTCCGATTCTCATCAAGTTTTTACCAAATGTTAGCCAGTGCATGCAAAATATGATAAAGTTGTAAAATTGACAAACAATAAAATAATGTAAGAATTATTCAGGAAAATCTTAAGTCGCGGTACCTTCACGCTTTTGAGTTATGTTCCTGCTGGTTTTAAGATATATTTATGAAAATATCATTTTTATACAGTAAAATAGTTTTTCTAAAAAATTGTGTTTGGAGATTTTTGTTTATTTCGTCATTCCGCTGATATGGTGATTTCTTTGACGACTACAATATATTTCTGAATCGTTTGTGTGAATTGCTCCTTATTATTAAAATATCCAAAATTAGAACAAAGCCGAACATGTTTTTGAAACTGACGTCTTTAGCTATGTCCTGTGAAAATTTGAGAAAAATTCGTTAAAACCCGCAGGAGCACAACTCGTTTAAAAATCAATAATTGCCGTAAAATTCTTCGGGAGAAAATTGAATTTGAATATTACATTTTCAATGTTTTTCTTACTGCAAGCGAAATGTATTTTATTAAATAACTCTGCGAGTTTTCAACATTTTTCGTCGAAAGTTGGTCAGATCGATAGAAGAACTAGTCTAATGCTTTCATGGAAACCAATAAAAAAAATTTGGCAAAATTAACACGCAAAGGTGTTCTGTAACCTTAAATTTGGAGGCAACATTGTTCCTTCCAATCTGTCCAGACCTTCTACATCTGCAAGATTTCCGATGCTAAGATTTTCTCCATGAAGTGACCAAAACCCTGTTCACCTCCCTTGTAATGTTATATATATGATGACTTCTGGATTTTCAAAACTAACCCAGCGACAACGAGAACAACTACTCGTCCACCTGTTTCAAAAATGGCTGGTAAACGTTAACCCTGGTTTAGATGCTAAATTTGTTCCTCAAAGTTTTCACCCACTTGTTGCCAAGGCTATGTCTGCAGTACTTCATGCTGGCCGAAAAGACAATCTTATTTTATTTAAATACATACACTATAATTTTTAAAATTAGTAATCTAATGCAAAAGTGTGTCACTATGTACAGTAATATTAGAACAACACACAAATATGGCAATATTTTACAGATGAAAATTGAAAAAATCTAACTACTGTATGCACATATCATATGGAAAAATCTATCCACAACTAGATACAAACGTACTTCAGCAAAAATGCATTAAACAATTTGTTTAACCCAAGACATGTATAGATATGTATCACAGTGACACAGTACATAGACACACACAATATGGTCAAACTAGAGGCATTAAACACAAATATTACGCCAAAATTGTGTACAGTGTATGTATAAAATTACAGTACAAGAATAAAAACAACAAAACGGAAATTTGACAAAATAACAAGATAACTGTAATGCATTGTAGTATACCAACCTTAAATATCGCGCTCGCTCGTTTTCACGTTGATGATTCACGGAGATTTAACGCCATCCAACTTAGAAAGAGGAGCCGCGCCATTGTGAATATAAATTGAACACAATTCCTTCCTTAGACGTATTATTTATAAACTAAATGACAGCACGTCCCATGCAGTTTTAAAAAAGGTAAACATGGTATAGTAGACACAAGTCATAATAAGGATCGCAACAATACAGCAATAACATGCTGTTTTCACAAAGGATCGCAGCCTTGTCGACATTCTTGTTGTTCGAAATTGCTTCCATATTGGTTTAGTCAGAGAGACTTTCACTCTTCGACAGTCAACAGTCAATGAAGCCACGCGTGGAATTAGGCGCTCAATACCCATGATGCTTTGCGGCCTGCTGTTCAACCTCCTCTGGAACATTGGCGCTTTTTCCATACATAAATCGAAACCTCAGTCTTGGGGATTAAATCTATCCAAATTTGGCATAATAATTTCGTTCGCACTATCGAAATTTTATGGGATTTTGAACATAATTATTTTGGTATTAGTCGAGGACATGTATATGAGTTTGTGTGTATTTCATTTAGGACAGATAATCTCAAATGTCTAATCTCAAAGAGCAAGTTGACCATGACGGTCAACATAGTAGTGACAATGAAACAACACTCGTTTTGCCACAGCCCCGCACAAATAGCATGAAAAAGAGTTTTATGTTTAATGGGGCAAAAATATGGAACTCAGTGTCTAAAGAAATCAGAGAGATTAGGTTCCAGGTCTCTATTTGAAAGAAAAATTGCTGCTCATGTTACTAAATAATATATTTATACATATATATATATATATATATATACATATATATATATATATATATATATATATATATATATATATATATATATATATATATATATATATATATATATATATATATATAGATAGATAGATAGATTAATATATGTAGATATATATTTAACAAATATAAAACCTATATGTTTTGTTAGTTGTCTATATTGTCAATTTTGGCAATTGGAAAAAATGCAAAAAAATTGCAAAATTTGGTGCTTTTCTTCGTATTTTCATCTAGTTCCTCAACGGCAATTTCATTCACATTTGTGTTCAAAATACTTTTCCGCCATTTTGTTTAGCATATGGTAAAACGCGGACTGGACTGGTAAAACGCAGATTGGACTGAGATTAGTAAAACGCGGACTGGC